ATTTATATGACCTTGATTGTACACTGGAATCACCTGAGAAGATTTTGTTTAAGTATCTTGGCCACTGAGACCCTGATTTAATTGGTCTGGGGTAAAGTCTTGACATAAAAAAAAATTGAAAAAAAATCCTCCCTTAGGATTTTAATGTCTAGTCAAGGCAGGAAACACTGGTCTATTTCATCTTAACATGTAAAAGGGACAGTAAAATGACAGAAAAAACCCTCCCCCCTTCTTCTTTTGAAACTTGTAGATTTCCCTTAAGTCAATATTGTTTTAGCTCATTTTCCAAGCACCACTTAATTAGCAGAATATCATCTCAGCTATTTTTAGCTCATTTTCCAACCCCCTCTTAATTAGGAGAATAACATCTATGCTATTTTCTCTTCTTCAAGTCTCTTCTCCATACAATAAACCATCTCATGCTTGTCTAAATAATCAGTTTGGTTCTGAAACATTAACTCACTAAGAGTCATTGTAAATACATAGTAACAATGCCACCAAAGAGAATTATTCTGAAGAAGATAGTGTGTATTCGTACGTAGATACTTGTGCATGAGTACATGTATAACCTCAAACATGCTCAGTTTTCATTTCTGAGGTGTGTACTTTCATCTACATAAAATAAACATGATATCTGTTTCAAAACTATTGCTCCTAAATACTTCATGGATATCTTTTGTGATAAAAAAGGACAAGTGACACACATACTCATCTAAATGAAAAAGAGAATACCACAAGATCTATTTACTCTACCTGATCTTGACATGGTCTCAATAAGAACATATATTCGAATGGCAAAAATATTAAACGATTGGCTTTCCTTTTCTTTTTGTCATTTTATTCTATCTTTAAATAAATCGTTTTGTTCTAATTAACTCAGAAATAAAAAGAATTTTTTGATAAAACACAGCTTGTTTAAGGAAGCCACTCAAACACTTGCCCAGTCCCAAAGCCTGTCCATCTCAGTGAACAGGCTGCCATAAAGTTGGAATGGCAATTCTGAAGCGATGGAGCTTCACTTAGGCTTTTATACTTTTGCTATCAATTACATTTTTTATTCACTTGTTAACCACAAAAAAATTACAAAACTATGACTGACTTGAAACCAGGAAAGAAAAATGTATTTATATCCTCTTTCATGACTCATGTGTCCTTTTACCTGAATTCCATCCTTTCTCATCACTTAATTTTAGCCTCTTTCTTGCCTTTCTAAATGTTACAACTCTACCAATACTTAAGCAGTTAACATATATACACATACACACTATAGGCTAGGAAATAAAATTGTGAATCAACAAATAGGCTAAGTAAATCAACAGACACTTTTTCAAAAAAGAAACATAAATAGCATGTAATTTTAAAAAGTGCTTAACATCTGTAGCCATTGCAAATTAAAACTACTTTAAGACTTTACCTTACACCAGTCAGAATGACTAACATCCAGAAATCTAAAGGCAAATGTCGGAGAGAACAAGGTAGGTAGTACAGGTGGGGGGGGGGAGCAATCCTTATTTACTGCTGGTAGAAATCAAATAAATACAGCAATTATGGAGATTAGCTTACAATTTTCTCAAGAATTAAAACAAAACAAACAAAAAGCTAACCATATGATCCAGCTATACCACTCCTCGGCATATACTCACAGGACTCTGTACCATGGAGGGAGGTGCACATTCATGTCTATTGCTGCTGTAGTTACAATAGCAATAAAATTGAACCAACCTAGATGTCCAATTACAAATGAATAGATAATGAAAATACGGCACAGACACAATAGGGTGTTATCAGCTGTTCAGAAAAGGGAAATTTGCAGGAAAATAGATGGGCATAGAAAGCATAATATTAAGCAGGGACCCAAACTCAGAGAGAGAAAATATGCATATTCTCCCTCATGTGTGCCTCATAGTTTATAATAAAGCTGAGTTATTTTGACAAATCCTACAGTGCCTATAATCAGGTGAGTTTGAGTCAAAAGGATTATCTCAAGTTCAAGGCCACAAAGTGAATGGTGTGCTAGTGGAAATACAGTCTCTGAATCAAAGAGGTAGGTGGGGAGAACAGAGGAAATGACAGTTAGTAAAGTCTTGTCAACAGCATGACAACTGGAGTCCAGATCTCCAGAACCTCTGTAAAGGACAGACACAGTAGCTCTGGTATCTGTAATCCCAGCACTCCTTTAGAGAGATGGAGAAAGAGACAGCAGAGTCCCTGGGAGCTCATGGCCAGCTAGCCTAGAAAAATCAGAGGCCAGGAAACCCTACCTTAAGGTGGAAGGTAAGAACTGATACACAAGGTACTCCTCAGATGACCACGTGATAACCCATATGCTTGCCTTCATATGTGCATGTTTGTGCAATGGGTATCACACACAAAAGAGGAATTCCACGGAGAAAGAATGAAAAAGAAAAGGAGCAAAATACACCTTGCTCAGTAGGTAGTATGTTTGTCAGGCAAGCACGAATATATAACTTCAAGCCCCAGAATCTACATAAGAAAGAAAATAGGTGGGCATGGTTGTTTATTTGTAACCTCAGTCCTAGAAAGAGGAAGATAGATGGATTCTCAGTGTTCTCAAACCAGCCAGCCTAGCCTACTTGACAACCTCAGAGCAACAATAGGCCCTGTCAAGAAAAAGTGAACTGCACCTTAGTTTGACCTCTGGCTTCCACATTCACATATACATTTACCTATGCACCCTCACAAACATGTGCACTGGCACCCACAAGCACAAGTACACACTCCAAAAGATATACCATACAGACACCAGTAAAGATTAAAATGGGAACGATCTGGGTGTGCAGATTTCTGGAATAGCGTGTGCAAAACACTACACCACCACCACAAAAAGATTGTGGTGAGTAACTGTTTACCAAGAACAAATATGGTTCTGGGTTGTGCGGAAGCTTGCCTCGAAAACCAACTGAAGGAAAACTTTGGAAAGCGAATGATTATTGTTAAAATAACCAGGCTAGTTAAGGATAAAACAATTATATTTTATTTATTATAAATATTTATTATAAGGAAAAAACTCATGAAACAGGAAACAAGAAATCTAAGTACAGCAATGTCCCGCGGGAAAAGGTGCAGAGAGAGAGCACCTGGAGGTGTACACATTTTACCTTGGGTCCCAGCGAAGCCATGTCTTAACTAAGACCCACCTCTGAAAGATGATTGGCTAACAAAGTTCCCCATCAGGTTAAAACTGAATGAAATGATGGTCATGTTTGTGAAAACGTCATGATACAATAAAAGCAATATAGAATGGGAACACTGAACAGGTATACTCCATATCCACAGAGAGAGCAAGGCACAATAGAAAAGGAAAATAAAGCCAGCACTGTCAAATAAGTAGTAGAGACAATAAGCACCCTAGGAATTCAAAGAAGCAGAAGACTGGTATCGATCATGGAAACAGCTTTTGGGAAAATCTCATGCATGCAGACAGCCTCATATAATGATGAGACAGAATTACACAAAATATTTATTTGAGGGGCAGCAAGCTGACCTAGTTGGAAGAAAAGAAGGTAGGAACATTTGTGAGATAGAGTTGCAAAAATTAACCTGGGGCCAGACAGTGACAGCTGGAAATGTTTAAACTTTGCCCCACAGGTAGAAAAAATCTTTACGGGTTATAAAGAGGAGTAAGAAAAAAAAATACTATAATGATACATTCTGGAGCCATTTTTTTGTGTGGCTTTTGAGGCACACACCAAGGAGCATATCTTGCCAATATCTATCCATGAGTCTGTGAGTAGTGTTTGGGCAATCTGTTCTGAGTAAAGGTGTAAACATTCAAACCAGTTTACCATAATACATAATCCAGTATTGATTCTGCATTCATAGTTCCTTAAATGCTGCTTGAGGGAATTACTGCATAGGAAGCTTCAATTTTAGATTTTTTTTCCTTCTTTTGCTGTCTTCTGCCTGCACACATATCTTGATTTGATGTCTAGAAACCAAATGCACTTAAATTGTCTTGTTTGTAAATATGGATATTTACTGCTTCTCACTATGGTGCTTCAAAATCACTACATCCATGCAAATATCTTGGTGCACAATTTATTTCAGCAGAGTAGATGGGACACATAAAGCAAAAAATAAAAATAAATATTATGAAGAGAAAAAAGTTTCAGCAAACCTAAACAAATATAAAAATAAGCAGCACTGGTTTAGAAGGAGAGTGAATTCACAGCACCACCACCAAGATGCCAGCCACAACAAAGACTAACACAGAGTATAGGGCAATCCATTAACCATCAACCCCATAAGAAATGGAATTGTTTTCTCAAAAATACCCAGACATTTTTTAGCTTTCTGCTATAAAAATCCAAACCAACAACACTCAAAAATAGACTACCTTTCACCCGGTAATCAACACTTAAGTGATTGATGATTTAATTTGCTAGTGCAACAAACACTAATCTAACCACCATCACCTCTCAGCACCAAGAAAATGAAAATAAAAGTCACTCTATAAGGCATAGATGAGATAAAAAGGAAACAAAAATATCCTAAAATGATTAAACAAATCGACCAGAAGAACACAGACAAACAACAAGCCTTACTCTGAAAAGGACTATCCAATGCCTTTCAAGGAATATGTAGAGATTATGATTTTTCGGCATTGTCTGCTCCCAACTCCCCTCACCTCCTCCCACCTACTCACGGTTAAGGTGGAGGAAGATAGGACCAAGAGTTGAAGGAAGTGCATTAAGGAAGCTGTCAATAAATCCTTTCTGTCTGGGTGCAAGACTCTGGGTACAACACTCTTTAACAATAATGCCCCTAATATCCCAGCCAGCTTCTCCATCATCCCAGGGCTGCTGGCGCCCCTCTTTCCCGCTGCCTGCATTGCCCCTCACAGTCAGAGGAGGCTGCTAGGATTCCGGGACTCCCGCTGCCCCTGCACGCCGGCCCAGCAGAATCCAACAAGGCAGCCACGCAGTCACCCACTCCCATCCTCCTTCCAGGCCCTGCTTCCCCTCCCCCCAGCCTGTCACCTGCTTGGGTGGTGTCCGTCAGGTCGTAGCCGCTGCCTGGGAAGTCTCTGAGTTTCCTGCCACTGAGGCTCAGGATGCCAGAGTTCCCCGCCTCCTCCAGGGCCCGGTCCAGGCTCCTCACCGTGTGCTGAGGCTGCAAGCTCCCCGGGTGCCACTGCGGCCCATTGGGGAACGGCTGACCGAAAAGAGTCGGTACCGGGATGGGCACCGCCACGGTCCCGCCACAGCCACCACCTCCTCCCGCCCCGGCCCCGCCACCTCCTCCTCCTCCACCACCACCTCCTCCTCCTCCAGCCGCACCACCGCCACCGCCACTTCCACCTCCACCGCAGCCGCCGCCCCCACTGTTCCCACCGCCTCCCTGACTCGCCGCCATGTTCCTGGGAGAGAGAATAGCCCCCGACAATACTCTGGGCCGCGAGTGGAGGGGGTTCTTAGGACGCATGCGCAGGCTGGGGGTGGGAGGGGGGGCCAGGGAGATGGTGGGAAGAAACCCAGGGCCAGTGGCTAGAAGGTGTCGTGCACACAGAGAAGACGCTGAAATGTGCCCACTGTTTGTTTAAAGAAAACCGAGGATCCAAGAAAGGATGCTAAATCCAGGGTCCGCTGTTTTGGGTACCAAAATCTTAGCGAAGAGGTACCAGGCTAAGTAGAGGTCGCTTGGACTCTGTGTCTCCTTCCCAGACCCCAAATCTCTCAGATTGCTTCCTCTTCTTGTTCTGCAAAACAAAAACAAACAAATGTGAAGTGGGGATGAAAGAACTCTTTTCAAGATGTATAGAAACAGCTCTTGGGAGGATTAGGGGGCAACTGACTAAGAAACAAATGCCTCAGTAATCATCTTTCCATGCTAATACGTTAATAGAGTCATTGGGGAGAAAAAATGAGTTCAGTAGTGAGAATGAGGCGTACGTGAATTCTGCTATCCTTTAGAAGCCCAAAGTAGGAAAAGAGCTTAAATGTTTTCAAGGGAGCTTCTCCTTACTGCGAGTCTCAGTCAATGTGCTGCCTTCCAAACATGGAAGAAGAGCTTTCTACATTCTGCTCTCTTACTCTTTGAAGTTGTTCCAAGAACTCCAAAATATCTCCAGTTTCTTCTCATCACGTCAGTATTGGATGATAAAAATGCTTTGATCACCAAGCAATCTTAGAAAGTATTTTTTGAAATACAGGTTTTGGTTTAAATGGAATTCTGACGATGTAATGCTGGGAATTGGAAGCCAATCAATCTTGGGGTTTAGGAGTTCCTTCTTACAACTTAGATGTTTAATGTAGAGGCCAAGGAAAGATGAAAGTCATTTATGAGGTAGCTTGGGGCCTCCATAATCTGACCCAATCTATTTAGGCAGATAAGTAGTGAGCCCTTTAAGCTGCTGCTCTGGTTTCCACTATCTGTTCCACTCCCAAAGAGTCGTTCAAGTCCTTTCACTAATACTCAATGAAGTCTGGGGAAAAGAACCAGAATGCTTTGGCATGTCCCCTTATCTTCAACTTCAACATTTTGTGCGTATTAGTCACATCTTGTGAACAAGGCACCATGCAGTCTCAGAGAAATCTCTGCCACAAGAAAATCGATCTGTCATGGGCTATACTTTGACAAACAATACAGGGAAGAGAAGAAATTCCTCTGGATGGCTTTGTGTTCATAGAGGGTTAATTTAAATGTTTGTGCTAAGAGAAATCGCACTTGCCTTGTAGATGAAACACAGAAAGAACAGGACTTAAACCGAACTTTGTACTGGGAATTAGTAAGTAAAATGATTTATTAAACCCAATGGTAAGAGGTGGGGATTTAGGTCAAAATAGAGCATTTGCCTAGCAAGTTTAAGGTCCTGGGTTTGGTCACCAATACTGGACAAAAAGATTCCAAAACAGTCACCTCTTTTTTTTTTTAACTGAAGGTTGTATTTTGTCACTGCCAAGACTGCCATCCCAAGAGTGTATTCAGACAATGGGGATGTTCTATTGGGAACTCACCAAGGCCAGCAGGCCTGGGTCTGAAAAAGCCTGGGATAAAACTGGACTCGCTGAACATAGAGGACAATGAGGACTACTGAGAACTCAAGAACAATGGCAATGGGTTTCTGATCCTACTGCACGTACTGGTTTTGTGGGAGCCTAGGCAGTTTGGATGCTCACCTTACTAAACCTGGATGGAGGTGGGGGTTCCTTGGACTTCCCACAGGGCAGGGAACCCTGATTGCTCTTTGGGCTGACGAGGGAGGGGGACTTGATTGGGGGAGAGGGAGGGAATTGGGTGGCAGGGAAGAGACAGAAATCTTTAATAAATAAAAAATTTATATAAAAAAAGAGTGTATTCAGTAAACCTGTTTTTGTCCAAATAAATAAACTGAACTCTATCACAAAGAAATACTGTATTTTTCTTATCCCTTATATTTCAAATCAAACCAAATATTAATTGAGACTCTATAATTAAGAAGGATGGAGAAAGATACTCTAAATTCCTTACTAAGAAAAAAATTAGAAAAGGAAATATTTTAAGAATTACCCAGGGGCTGACTCAGTGGTGGAGTGCTTCCCTGGCATATGGGAGACCTCGGGTTTAATTCCTAGCACTACAAAATAAATAAATGATACTAAGACAATAAAAATTTTTGAAGTTATTTAAAACAGTGCATAGGCTCCAGTATAAAGATGTCCTGAGGACATGGATACTTGTTAAGTGTAATGGACCATAAATGACCAAGTTTAAGAAGTAAAATAATCTTCCAAAGAATTGAAAGACATTCGAAGTAATAAACATGTGAAGCATACAAAGTTCTGTAAATATACATGAATGTTAGGCACAATAATGCTTATAAAGGTTTTGGCAAGAACATTGAGTTTCAAAAGAAGTTAATAGACATAGAACAGCTATGAAGTTCAGAAAATTCTTCCAATATAACTTCCTCTATACTTGGAAAATAAAATCTTTGTGCTTCAATGTCTCGATATAACAATAGATAAAAATAATACCTAATAACGAGAATTAAATAGCATTTATCACCGTGATAGAATATTGTTCTCTGATCATACTAACCATGAATATCTTATCAAAGTAGCTAGAATTGCACAGAAGAAACCCCCAAGACTCAGCCTGTCGATATTCTCTAATATAAAAGGAAGGGATAAGAAAGGTCATCAGATCCTCACAAGAATTGCTACCACTCTTTTCTGTGTCCCACTCCTAGTTATATTGTAATTCTTCTCAAGCTGCTTGTGGTCTCAGGGAGAAGCATAGAAAACCAAAGGTTAATTGAAGAGGGGACACCATCTCTATAGTTGTCGGAAAGGCATCAACTATTCTGTGGTGAGATATTTAGTGATGTGGCTATATGGGGGTATGCCTCACAATCCTGCAAGTAGATCCTATTCATGATCTGGAAGGAAGTCCAATAAACTCATTGGTTCACCTAGGTAGAGATAGGAAGAATCCTTACTTTGGTCTGTCATTGGTGTTCTTTCTGAAATGAGGTGCTGGTTTACATTTCTCCCAAGAAATACGCACACAACATCCAGGAACTGCTTAAATTATCATTTGATATTTCTAGCATTCCCAGAAAACTGGTAATATGATTCATATTTTACACATTATGGAAAGCAGTGTGTTTTGCTTAGTTTAGTATTAGAATAGATCCAGTCACTATGTAAAATGTACAAGCACAGTACCAAGAATTCATTCAATCACTTAATAAGTAATATTGAGCAATTATTCTGTGCAATAAACATTCTAAGGTATAAGGTATGTAACAAATATTACTGTCTTCACTACATCCTGGACTTTCAAAAGAGATGAAATGAACAAGAATATACAAAATTTGGGCATCTAAAGGAAATTTTAGTTAATTCGTAGATAATTGTGAGTAAAGAAATAATACATAGCATGATTTTTTACTTCAAGTTTATAACAGGATATATTATTGTGTTTAACACTTTGATATTATCCCTGAGAGGACACATTGGTAACTGGATAATTAATGCCAATACTCAAAGTTATTCAAGACAGACATATGAAATAAATGATGATAAATCACTAAGACTGAATGACATATGTCAAAGATAATGCAAGGAAAACAAGGAGGGAGATTTTGAAGAAAACTTATACCCTTTAAGCACTGGATGAATGCAAATGCAATTTCTGTTCAAAAGACATTTGCAATACCAGGATACTTTATAGTCACCACCATTTCAAATTAGTAGCTCTCGGTAGTTAGAAATAATACAGAGGAGAAAATGAACATTTTTTCCAAAACTAGAAATTTTCTATTAAATATGAAGCTAAGTGAGTTAGAATAAGAATGTTCTTAAGAATGTGTAAATTTAAAAAAAGATAACTTTTCTCATAGGATCTAGAAAAAACAATGAACTTAATGTTCAAAGCATAATATAAAAATTTTAAAAACATTGATCTGATTTGAGGAATGAAACAGAAATCTCTAATTTATTTCTCAAAAACATCAGCATAATTTCTAAATTCAGAGAGAAACTCTAAGGGTATATAACTCAGTAGTTGAGGGCTTGCCTAAAATGGATGAGACCCTGGCTTTGAGCCTATGAGATGCCGAGTGTCATTAGGATATGTTTTAGGACCCCAAAAGAGCATATGAAATAACCTGTACTGAAATATTTTGCACCTACAACTGAAATATTATGAGCACTTCTGACCACTCCAGCATCAGTATCAATCCAGAATTAGAAAAATCCCTGAGTCACAGTCCAGCTGGCCTTGGTGAGCTCCCAATCGATCAGCTCCACTGTCTCAGTGGGTGGGTGCACCCCTCGTGGTCCCGACTACTTTGCTCATGTTCTCCCTCCTTCTGCTCCTCATTGGGACCTTGGAAGCTCAGTCCAGTGCTCCAGTGTGGGTCTCTGTCTCTATCTCCATCCATCAGCAGATGAAGGTTCTATGATGATATGCAAGATATTCGTCATTATTGCTCTAGGATAGGGTCATTTCAGGTTCCCTATCCTCAGCTGCCCAAGGAACTAACTGGGGACCTTGGCTTGGGCACCTGGGAGCCCCTCTAGGGTCAGGTCTCTTGCCAACCCTAAAGTGGCTCCCTTAACTAAGAATTGTGGTTCCGTGCTCCCCTGTCCAACCTTACTTTATTCCAATCCTCCTGTTTCCCCAAGGCCCCCTCACCTTCCCTTCTAACTTTTCTCTCCCCATCTCCCCTTACCCCCATCCCACCCCACCCCCAAGATCCCAAGGCCAGCTGGACTGTGACTGAAAAAGCATGGGATAAAACTGGACTCTCTGAACGTGGCGAACAATGAGGGCTGATGAGACGCAAAGGACAATGGCACGGGGTTTTGATCCTGCTTAATGTGCTGGCTTTGTGGGAGCATAGCCAGTCAGGATGTTCACCTTCCTAG